AACCACCAAAGCCCACTAGTATGTCATTAACGTATCTGTACCAAAAAACGATATGTTTCTGAGACAGGGGGTTGTTGAGGATGAGGGTATTTTTTAGTCTGTCCATGAAGATATCTGCTAGTATGGGGCTTAATGGTGAGCCCAGGAAGACCTTAGTTTTGTGAATAAAATTTATTGTTGAATTTGAAGAAGTTTTGTGTCAGACATGTATTTAAGAGATTGCAAAATTCGTGAGTTATATACGGGTTAGTATTACATTCAACTAGTATGTCTTTTACTAGAGGGAGTCATTCATTTGTTGGAATGCTAGGAAACATGTTTTTTACGTCAAATGATATTAGATTTATACTATTTCTGATATTCATATTGGACAACTTATTAGCTAGGTCTACTGAATTCAAAACCGTATTGGATGAGTGAATTTTGTGAGGTCTCTGAACTTTGAACTTGAAAATTTTGACAACTTACTGGTTGGGGCATCAATATATGATACAACTGGTCTGGTCGGGTTTCCTTCTTTGTGTATCTTGATCAGTCCATACATTTCCGGAGGCTGGGGGTTCATGCATACTGTCTTCTTTATATCCCATGGAGTGGGGAATATCATAGTTGATTTTTCTATAATTCTCTTAACTTGTTGTGAGTATGTTTTGGTAGGATCCTTTTTTATGATGGTGACATCTAATTTGTCCACTATATCCACTTTCATGAAAACTACTTGATTTTTGTCGGGAGGAACATTCCCCTTTAAACGTTGGTTTGCTGACTTCAAACGTGGTCGTAGAGACACTGATGATGCAGAACGCAGTGGACGTCCAAATGACGCAGTAACACCATAAAACAAAAAAATCCACAAAATCGTTTTGAATGATCAAAAAGTGAAGTTACGTGAGTTAAATGACATTGTGAAGATATCAAAAAGACCTGTTGGCTTTATATTGCATGAATGAGCATTTGACTATGAAAAAGCTCTGTTCAGAGTGGGTGTCGCGCGAGCTCACTGTTGACCGACTTCGAGCAGTGTTTGATCATGTTCAAATATAACAAACTGAAATTTTTGCGTTGATATGTGACAATGGATGAAATATGGATCTACCACTTCACTCCGGAATCACAACGATTGATATATGAGTGGAAAGCTACTGGTGATCCTCGTCCAAAGTGCACGGAAGCACAATTCGCTTAGAAGGGTGTGGCTGCGGTATTCCGCAATGTGCGTGGTATAATACAACAGTGAATATTATATAGCGTTATTGAAGCGTTTGAAAACCGAATTTGCGGAAAAACGACTCCATTTGAAGAACATTGTTGCCTCATCAAAACAAGGCACAGTGTCACAAATCATTGAAACGATGGTAAAATTGCATGAATCAGGCTTCGAATTGCTTCTGCATCCACCATATTTTGTAGACCTGACCCCCAGTGACATTTTTCTATTTCAGACCTCAAGAGAATGCTCTCTGGAATGGAATTTGGCGTCAATGAAGAGTTAATCGTCGAAACTGAGACCTATTTTGAGGCTAAAGGCAAATCGTACTCTAACAGAGGAATCGAAAATTTGTATGAACGCTATAATCCTTATATTGCCCTCAAATTTTATAATTTTTTCAATTTAATGTTACGCAACGAACATTTCACTCCAACTGTAAGGCTGTTTCTTCCGGTTCGTACTTGAAAGAACCCCCAGTTTATGATTTACCTTTATTTTGCAAAGAATTCTTATTGATTTTTTGAATTTTCAAAGAAACTGCAAAACTTGTGCATTTCACTCGTTATTATAAAAAAGTTTTCCTAAGTATGATATAGTATTTGCGATCAACAAGATGTTGGTTCTGAATACCACCCCGGCCAATTCTTGGGATTTTCAATATCATGTGCGTAGAGCATGTCAATGTTTACATCCACGCTATCTTGGATTTGAATTTGCTTTAGTTTCACCTCAATTCGAAATCACTTCTAGATTCTCGTTAAGATATGCATCTTCCTGCTGCCGGTAAATATGTGCATATGCAGCCGATGTCCTGGAATCCAAATGGAATGAGACAAGTGTGCTGTCGTCCGCATACCAATATATTGGATTGCTGTTTTTCCCAAAAAGTCGTTGATATTCCATAAAAGGAGGGTTGGAGACAATATGGATCCCTGAGGAACACCAGCGTTGATGGTTAAAATATCCATCTACTGCCACTTGCAGGATTCGTTCTTTCAGGAAGCTGGAGAGCCACACACAAAAATGATCCGACAAAAGCCATAGCATAGAATTTTGGCCAGCAAACCCTCATGCCTTAGAAATATCAATTGCAATATCGATTGCAATATTCCAAGTTAGTACATTTCTTCCATTATGTTCAGTTCATGTTTAGCTTTGAGTTCTACACCTGAAAAATATTGGTCCCTACTGTTTTGAGGTATCTCTGATCGGGAATTGTATTGCCATACAGTGATGACGAGAAAAACGTCATGTATTGTGTTACATAGATGAATTCGTTATTACACAGTAGCTACAAAAATCGATAAAGTAACCTATAGGTGATGGTCTGTGTTTTGTAAAATGTGGGTCGCGATCCCTTGGGGAGTCGCAAACTATCCATAAGGGTCGCTTAGTAACGGCAAAAAGTTAGGAAACATATTTTCATCAAAGGTCAATTGAAGGACCTTCATTATAGGCTAACATAAATCAGGAAAATTGAAAAATACTGATGATTCACATTGATAATAATGTCATAAACAGCCTGCTTTTCGTCAACCAATTTTTCACCAATTTGTTTTATCTACGTTCAGAATTGAATTGTTCTCTAACCTAAAGTGATTTTTTGGTGTTTGTTTTTTATTGAGGCCCCTGTCGAAAACGTCAAATCTCAAAAGTAAAAACCATCTGGGGTTAGTTCAGGGTAGTCTACCTTTGTTCCAAGAGCAACAGACTCAGACTTTCTATAGTATTTCAAAAGCAGAAAAACTCCATCGGCATTGATGATATACCAGAAACACTTGTGAAATATAATATCGACCTACTTCATCAAGAATTTACCTTTCAAGAAATATCCATTCACATAAAGGAAAGTAAATTAGAAATTAATAATTACAGAGGCATCTCATTACTTTCCAGTTATTCTAAACTTGTAAAATGATTTGTTGATCAGCAACAACCGTTATTTCAACACCTCGACACGTGTTTTGATCACCAAGTGATCATTTTCAAGAGGAAGATCAAAATGTATGATATTCCTCTTCCAATTTATTCTAAGGATTAAGTGGGGAATGGGACAAAATACAAGCGTATCTCAATGGCCACAAAAGAAATAACCAGGAAAGGAATTTCTGGCAAAAACATAACAATCTGCACTGGCACCAGACAAGCCCTATTAGCCTTGAACAGACAGCGTGTTACCTCAGGGCTAGTACTAGAGTGCCACCAAGATTTAGCCAAAGCCTCGGTAGATAGTAACATTATCCTGAGGTGGATTAAAGGGCACGACAGGAGTAAAGGTAATCGCATTGCCGACTCTTTAGCCAAGGAAGCGGCTGGACTGAGAATTTTAGGAAACAGTGGCACCCACGGCCTGATGACTTCGACAATTGCGGAACTAGTCAAACGTCACACCCATGCTCAATCCCTAAAGAGATGGGATGAAATGAAAGGATGCAAACTTGCCAGGATCACCCTGGGCGATCCTGGGAAGCTGGCACCGAAGAAATATCTGGTGATGACCAGGAAAAATCTACGCTTAACAGTAGGATTTCTGACTGGCCACCGTCAACCAAGGAAACACCTCCATAATATGGGGCTAGTGGACACACCTCAACGCAGAATGTGTGAACAGGAAGATGAGACTCTCAGGCATGTCCTGTGCGAGTGCCAGGAGTTATCGTCAATAAGAGAGTGTGTGTTCGAGGAGTCTTGACCTACACCTGCCGATATAAAGGAGATGTTTGCTAGTGACCTGTCCACCTTCCTGGAAAGGACAGGATGGACGATGACCTTGGAGGACAACTCCTCGAGAGGATGTACAATGGGTCACATGTGGCCCAAGTGATGTGGGCCTACACTCACCCTCCCTACTCTACAGATACAGATAGTAGTTCACTGTAATTTATAAAGGGTGTAACTAAATAAGTGTAAAACCTTTAAGGAGGTGATTCTTCATCGAGAAAAAGATAGGATCTTTCATATAAAGAAATTTCATTGGAGCATCCCTTGTTAAGATACAGCCCCTTAAAGGGGTACATGAAATTTGTATAATTTGGAAAAAATTGAAAATAGACTACTGTGGCATTTATATTTTGAGAAATATGAAGTCTACCCAGATTATAATTCTGTGAGAACTAATGATCTCAGGAAAGAATTCGAAATCTCGCGTTTAGAGAATAGAAGGTTATACATGATGATCGCAATATGTTACAAAATTTATAATAATTTCCTTAACTGTCCCAAGTTACGTGGTTTAATGAACCGAAGAAACCCTATCAAAATTATAAGATCCACCCCTGTTTTCGAAATTCCATTAGTCACCACGATTCAAGGTACCCCAATCGTAACGATGCTAAAAGTCACAAATAATACACTATTAATGTCTGAACTCAGCTTTGTCCAACTTCCTAGAGACTTTTTTACTGTCAATCAATAGCTTCTCTGTCATATTTTTGGATCAGTTACTTTTTTATTTTTTCCTTATTACATAGGTATAACTTTAGTTTCTTTCATTGTATACTGTCTATGAATTTACGATACATATATAACCATTTTCCCATGTAATTAGGTTGCACTTGTATGAGAACAAATGAATAAATGAATAATATTGCCCCATTGCCCCTTAGTCATAAATTGGCGACGCCCTTGGTCACCATCAGAAAACAAAAAATATCAGACCCTGAAATTATAATTCTCTTTGACCATCAGTGGAACGCTAAATCTGATCGCTTGGTGTTCAAGAAGTGATCATCTGAGTGTTATTTGTGTGAACAGCGTAATGCATTGCTACTTATATGTAATAAAGACCAAATCAGTATTATCACTTTTATTATTATGAGTTAACATGACCAAATTACAAGTAATACAGGTTTCGTATTATTTCAGCCATCCATGTTTCACACATTCACGAATCATATAATGAACCCTCTTTTTTGTTTTCGGCAGCAACCTCGCCAACATTTCCTCCGTAGATAACACTTCAGTGGAGGTGTCATCTTCCGATTTTCCATTGAGTGTAAATATAATGAATAGCAACGCATGTCCTATTTCATAATCAGTCTCCAGTTCAATTTCTTTTTGAAACTGCTCGAAAGTAAAACGACCTGTATCGCATTCATGTTGTACCAGTACTTCTAGCAAATTTTCGTAGTAATACTTGATGAAGTAATCCAAATGTGATTCCAAAAGGGCTTGTGAAACACTGGTCCACAGAAAGAAAAACAAATCCGCTGCTGGGGAGCCATAGTTGAAACACTGAAAGTCAACTATTTTATTAGCAACTGCTTTGCCGTTTTCAAATTTTTGCATGATGTTGTTGATCCACAAGTCACAGTGAATCACTGTTGCAAAAGGTTCTCTTGCCGCAGACCTTGGAATTGTCCCCCAAGTCTTGATTTTAGAAACGCAGCGGCCTGTGTCTTCATTTTCATTTAATAAGATATTCACAACTTCCTGAAATTTGTCGTTTTCTTGTTGCACCACTTTAAAATCATGGCAATAAGGCTTTATTTTTCCGGCAAATATCTCAGGTTCCTTGTTTTTCATTGCAATAAACACTCCATGAAATAGGGCTAAGTCTCTAATGATGAGTTTTGTAGTTTCAAAGTCGAAACCTTCTATTCGCTCGATATTTTTATAACCTGAAACAAACATCTATTGTAGTAAATGTCCTGTAAAAACACATTATGTGAATTATAAATTATAGTACAGGCAATAACGCCTGACGGTTGAGATTCTAATTAAAAAAGTAAGTTTCTGAAAAGTATCATGAACAGAAAGCCAAAATACATGTGATACATGTGTTATGTAGATAGTATGTAGAATGTCACTAGATCGAAATTCCATTGTCTACTATATAAAATGATTTGAAATCCCTGAAACAACTAAAAAAGGAGAATTAAAAATGAGATAGCTGAAAATAATAATTATATTAACCAAAATAAACGTGAAATGAAATAATAGTGAAATAAAATACAAGTAAAAATAGAACAATTGAATAAATAAAAACAGAGAAATGAAAAAAGAAAGAAAATAAAAAGTGAAGAGATTCCAAGTCACGTTAGTTCACGACGTTTGCATTGTTAGTATCTACAATCGTCTTCGGGTGATGACTGGACTGATTCCCCCGAGAGATGACTATTTATGGGTGGTTCGAGTACTTTCACTTATCCCCGCTTTCCATTTTCCGCTTCACTGGTTCCGTGGGAGATGACCATTTTGGCGGGAGTTGGCCATTTTTCGCTTGATGATGGGTTTCCATATGTTGCGTATTTCTACGCTGGCTTGGCTGAATACGTTNCTTCACATTTTTCTGGAGAGAGAGGCTAGATGAACTACATATTGTGCTTATTGCCAATTGCACAAATCAATTTAATACAGAGTGTTGGTTCACAGAGGAAGTCACAGCATTCTGGAAATGACCTCTGAATTTATGCCTCCAACTGTTAACTACGAACTGCGATATAAAGTACTGTTTCCGAGTAAAGAAGACTGGATCCTCCGGGAGAAGGAGATATTAAAAGCAGATAGTTGTTGGTTCAGAGATGGATTCAAACCACCTTCCGGTTCTGGTGCAATTGTTTTCAGTTGAATACCCAGGACAGAGACTCAACCTGCCTAGGAACCTATGCGACTGTATTTCAAGCGGAAATTTACGCTATTGAATTGTGTGCAGAGAGATTGGAAGAATTCAACCCCATACAAATATTCTCGGATAGTCAAGCAGCGTTGGAAGCTCTTGGCTCCTACTGAGCAACGTCTACACTGGTAGCAAATTGCCAAAAACGACTCTTCTTGATAGAAAGACTTAACAGATTTATCTTGTCTGGATTTCTGGCCATGCTGGCTTGGTAGGCAATGAGGCTGCTGGCTCCCTTGCAAAGGAGGGTGCGGCAAGCAGCTTCACCGGACCAGAACCTGTCATTGGCATCTCTTTAGGCTTTGCCAAACGTAGATTAAACACCTGGATGGCTAGAAGATTTATGGACTTCTGGCAGAATCTTCCAGGATTGGCTCATTCCAAAGCACTTGTGATGCACTGTTTGGAACCTTTGGTATAGTAGTGAATATTACTGGAGTATTTTCCCAACATCAAACCATTATTTCATCACCTCGACACGTGTTTCGATCACCAAGTGATCATCTTCAAGAGGAAGATCAAACTAATCATACTTACAAAACTATCTTCATTTATACCATAGATATCTGTTCTAGGTACCTGCGGTTTGTCTTAAATCAACCGATTGATTACAATTGTACATTTTACAATTGTAATTTGTAAAACTTAAATTGATTTTACAATTGTAATTAATTTAAGACACTCTAGACGCAAGTACCTAGATCAGGAATCTATGGTATAAATAAGAATAGCTATATAAGTATGATTAGTTTTATTTTCCTCTTGAAGATGATCACTAGGTGATCGAAACACGTATCGAGGTATTAAACTAACGGTTTGGTGTTGGGAAAAAGCTCGAGTAATATTCACTCCAAGGCGTTTATTCACCCTTCAAAGGGTGTATGCAGGTGTTTATGCCCGACGTTTCGTCTACTACTGCAGTATACATTATCAACAGCGATGTGGTCCAGCCGAGCAGCAGTGATAAGATCTACGGCGAGTCGAAATAGCACTGTCTGGTGAATGCTTTGAATTTGGGCTCTGATTTCAATCAGTTGCTCTGCAGTCAAAGCTGTATTGAAAGACAGAGAACGAATTTCGTTTAGGGAATCTCATTAATTTTGTTTCATGGTATATGGGAAATATCATCGTCTTTACCTGCTCAAACTTGTCCTTCAAGAATAGTTGAGTCGTGGTCCAGCCTACTGATGAGACTTGGGCGGATCATAATAGCGTCATTTGGTGTTAAATCACCCTCCATGGGTGACAATGACGTCCCACCCGGCAGAAATATTCTCCAATTCAGCATTTCAAAAAGTAAAACAAAACATCATGGATATCATTCTCAATTGTTTTTTTTATCTCAATGAGCAAAGATATGTCACTAGTTTGTCATATCAATCGATTTATTATTAGCACCAGTTACAGAGTTATCAATGTTGCGTACTCAATTTGAAGCATTTTGTTTTCGTTTCTATAAATGTCCAGGTGAGTCTACGGTCTATTAGAAGGCCGAGGTACTTCAGCTGTGCTTGCCAATTGATATACCTTTCAAAGACCCTCACTTTCATGTTCTCCCTATGGTTATTGCCTGAGTTTTTCCTGGGTTCACTCGAATCTTCCAATCGAGGTATCAGTATGAAAGATGAGAGGAGAGCCGCATCATCGGTGTACAGAGCATATCCCCCTGTGGCACTCCAGCGAGAATCTCCCTATTGTCAGACAGAGAGCCCTATACTCTAACCCGAAACATTCTGTCTTTCAGGAAAGACTCAATCCACCGGATCAGGCCACAAGGCAGATCAAACGCAAGTAGTTTGTGCAGAAAGCCTTCGTGCAATACACGGTTCGAGATATCTAATAAAACAATATGCATTCTTTTGTTCGTATTCAGTTCTTAGATGGTGTTTTCCACCAGCTTCAGAACCTGTAACTCATGGAGTGTTCCCTCCGGAGGCCGAATCCTTCGTCAAGCAAAACATTTTGATCCTCAACTTCTTTGTTGAGCCTTTGCTGAACGGCTCTCTCAGCCAGCTTAGCCGCCGAGGAAAGCAGATTGGTCGGGGGATAGTTCTGTGGGAACAACAAGTTGTTTGGGATCAAAGGACGACCGCACCTTATGGGAAAGTATCTGAGGGTCACCAAACTGTTTATAATATTCAAAAGGTTTTCAACGCAGTTGTCCGGAAGCCTCTGCTATAATCTATTAGTTATTGAGTCGAACCTCGGAGACTTCTTAGCGTTTGCGGCCCTAATATATCCCTTTAGTTCTTCCACAGAAGTCAACCGGATGTTGTCGTCGTCATCTACACTAAGCATGCGATGAACCTGATCTTCCAACAGAATATCTTGATCGAAATCATCATTATCGTCGACGTTAAGCCGAAACTGCCATTTCATCGTGTCAACAAAGGCCAACGCTTTGTCGGCGGAGAAATAGCATACTCCGCGTTGTCCGTAAATGGATGAGTCTGCCTTGAGTCTGCGGAAGACCCGCCAAAGCTGGTCATCCCCAGGCTTAAAGGATTGCACCTTTCGTTTCGGTAGTCAACGATAGCCTGTTTCACTTGATTGACCATTCTGCTTGCTGCAATTTTATCCCTAGGGAAGAGGGCACGTTGGTAAAATCATCTTAGACGCGTATTAAGGACTCAATACGCGGAAGAACTCGTAGCTTTTCAGAGGGCGTTCCTCTCTAGAGGTGCCACGTCGAGTTCGTCGGGAGAGCGAAGTGCCTCAGTAGAGGCGTGCATCTCTCCGAGATGGGCTGCAAAGGCATTCCAGTCCGTCGATGATCTCATGTAATGATCATGGGAAGGAAGATCATCACCCAGTACCAGAATTACTGGATTATGATCGGAATCCGTTTCCGACAGAACATGATTGGAGAACAGGGGAGGCTAAAGTCATAAAGACTATATACACACAGAAAAGCCCGCCAGAGGCGCGAAAATTTTTTGGGGTACCGCACCTATTTGAAGTAAAATACGTATTATTTGCATAACTGCAAACAAAAATTGTGTACTGCCGAAAATTATACTTATAAAACTGAACTTGAAAAAAAACAAAAACTAGGAAAATGTCTTTGAGTTGTTGAATATAAATGAACTCTCCTCAGTCGATAAATAATAAAACTTTTCTCTTCTAATATAACAGTTTTGTTAAAAATTGCTACAGATATTTCATAAGCACAAGTACTCAATTATGCTTATCTTTGAGACATATCTAAAAACGATTGACAGTTGTGATGTACAGGTAATATTAGTAGTTTCATCAATTTCCCATGCAAAAAAGAAACACTTCCTTGCTTATATTTTCCTCAATAATATATGCCACACTGTCAATGAGCTCATTTTGGATGGTTTTTGAGGTGCCCGAAAAAACGCTACCATTTAAAAAAGTGCCAAATTGTGAGTCGTATTTGCTCCATAACATTAAAAGTTCTTTGTAATTGCCGCGATTAATCGAATCTTCGGTTTCATCGTGTCCGCGAAAAGTTAATTCTGGGGAAGCCTCCTCTGACAAGCCGCCGCTGTTTCGCATCAGCAGATCATCCAGTGATTCAGGAAGTAAACGAATAGTTAAGGGTTGTGAACTGAGATTAGGTTGTGGCAATCTCTGCTCAGTCGAATTTCGATACCCAAGGCCTCAGTTCCGTGTAATCAGGCACAAACTGCGAAAAATCAAGAAGCGTACTTGGTTAAAATCACTGTGTAAACGCAAGTGAGACGTTAGTGGAACCACCTATTGGTTTGATACCCAACTTTGCTTGCCAAGTTTTTATGTCAGGTTTGGTGATTTGACCGACAACTATGTAAGTAGAAATTTGAGAAACTCTCCTGGAGTGCCACACGTTTCAAGAAATGGTATGAAATCAATTGAGTCTGATCACGATGGATACCTTTCCTCCCAGAGTTGGAATGAAACCTACATTCCCAATAGAGGAGGTTTCATTAGTGAAAACACTAACCAATCGACTATCATTCGAGTTAGTTTGATAATTTGTGGCAAGTGAAAATAATGAGGAATCTAAATGTACTTGAGATTTCGATACCAGTTAACGGGCGACAGTAGAAAGAAATGAATAAAAAGAGGTTCTTACTCTGAGAAACAGAATGGATGTTTTCTATAAAATGATTTCAAATATCACTCACCAAGTTCCATCAAATTTTCCAGAACAATTACAGCATCATCGTCTATCTTATCGCTACCATCCAAGTTTTTTCTAGTAGCTATACACTTACAGACAGTGTCGAAAACTTGAGTTATTCCCAAACGTCGTTGAAAATCTTGAACTGCAGGAACTATGATTTCGTAGAAAGCCATTTCATATCGATAAGTCATTTGAACGTTGAAAATTTCCCTGAACAGTTCTGTTTCTGGGAGTGTCTTTCCTACAGCGTGTAATATCTCTTTGGTGCCATTTTCGGTATTGAGCACTGTAATATCGAGTTTGAGCATCACGCTTCCAAAATTCTCTCCCGGTGCTGTTAGTCGAGTAATTTTGACATCGTGTATTTGTTTACTTGTGCCCAAGTAATTCTTCAGTAAGTCTGGAAGGTTTTTTATTTCTTCGCTACCCATGATTGAATATGCTTATGCAATGAAAACTGATTGACTGTTGCTAGAAATATCCTACGTTATTCACAAATATTTATATAACAAACGGGTTATCATTCTGATAAGTAGATAACAATTAGTGAAACATTGCATAATACACTCGTATCTTGATAGATAGGCGGTGGTGAATTATTAGGAATCATTCAGTTTGAATTATCAATAACGAAATCATTAAGTTGTTTTGTCAGTTTTTATTAATTTACTTGAAACTGCGTTATCTCAGTTAGTACATATTCAATTAAATCGAAATCAGCACCATTGCACCTTTGCCAACATAGGTATCACAAGTGGATTGATTCCGTCAGTATAAAAACTTGGTGCTCGGGATTCGATGATGTCAACGAAGGCCGTTTCTGTCTGGTCCGGTGAGAGAGTTATTGAAGGGCTTGAAAAGACGGTAGTCTGTTGGCGAGAGGCTTGAAGAGTATGGTGGGTTAGGCTCAATTCGTTTAATATTTGGACGATGATTTGTGGAACGTGCGGACGGGTGTTATTGTGGAGCAGAATCGGACATCTTCTGTTGACCAGTACCAACTGGTCCAACTGATACCAATGATCCAACAAGCCTTAGCATCGAAGTTTGGCCAGCAAACCCTCATACCATACACGGTCAAAGGCCTTAGAAATACCATGCGCAACAGCTCTGGATTCTCCATGTTTCTCGATTGCCTTATTCCAAATATGGGTGACATACGATGCCATTTGTTACGAGTTACTTAGACGAGAGCATTGAAGCAGAATAAGTGGGCTTAAGAGACAAGATAAGTTCGATTACTTCTAATGTTGATATTTTGATCACAGGCAAACAACAGGTTTCGCACTAAAGACTATAAAAGTATGAAGTTTTGTATGATGACTTAGTTTTTGCTTAGTTTGTACCTCGTAATTCTTTTTTTGTATGTTTTTAGACCTATAAGTGATAAATAAAACTGTAAATTGATACGGAAGCACCAAACTCTTACTAAGATTCGAAATAGATGAACTCTTCAATCTAGCAGACCACTATTGTGATCTTCTACCAGTTCACTGTGGTTCTGGCGTTGAATCTGGTCATTATTACGCCTTGGTTAAAGACGATACGGACTAGTCTTGTCACTAAATATTCTAGCGTAATCTTGAATTTATTGGGGTCTCTGGAGATACCCTACATTTTACTCTAAGAAAGAGAGGACATTGGCAGATCAAGATCTTCAGATGATGAGGTGCTGCAGGTTTTTCCGGGTTTTCCTGCAGCTGAAAAAGCAAATGCGCCACTGGAATCAATCAAGTCGCCCCGGAGCGCCAATTGTTTGTTGTTGTTTCCTAATTTCATAATTTGTATTACGTCATTTTGATAATTTATAGTATCTTTTTATTTCTCCTTTATTATAAGCATGTTATAAGTAAACGAATATTTAACCATTAAATGTGAAGTTTTCTCAGGAGCCTTCTCAATTCAAAGAGCCTTTGAATACTTTTATAGAAAAGTAAATATTATACGTTCATTAGAATATTCAGTAGTTTTGTAAAGATACTTATAATATAATCAAAATGCAATTTTTATAAGAGTTTTTCAGTAGTTCCAAGTGAGCGTGATAAAATATAATGCAGCCTATAACGATAAAATAAAAAAGTGTTCAAAATGTTTTCTTGAAGGCGCAAGAAGTAAGTTTGTATNTTATAAGTAGTGATTTGAAACTTGGTAAATGGCTAGCATAAGTCAAACCATTGAATTATAGCTTTGAAATTTTCTTCAACTTTTTCAAACAGCTCTACGTTTCCGATTTGTAAATGACTACTGTGTCATCTGCGAAGCTTATTATATCCCCTTCCACATCTAGCATGAAAAGATCGTTTAGGTATATATTGAAGAGAATTGGACCCAGAACTGTCCCTTGGGGTACACCATATTGTACTACTCGAGATTCACTGAGAGTGTCTTTGATTTTCACACATTGGTTCCTTTCATGGAGATAACTATAGAGGAGTTGGTGGGATGTTCCTCTGAATCCAATATTCTCAAGTACATCTAGAAGTTGATCATGGCTAACTGTATAAAATGATTTCTTCAAGTCTACAAATATACATGAAGATGGTGATTTTTCGTCTATATATTTACTGATGTATATTTAAATGTTTGTTTGTTTATTCACATATTTATTATCAAATCTGTATGAACAATTCAAATTGTATATTAACTTTATTTTATTATGTCCAGTTTGAATAATCATTTTATAATTATAAATTAACATGTTCGATACCATGTAGTTGGTCTATAAATGAATACATTTCTTTTTTTCTTTCTTTCTTCCTTTCTTTCTATAAAACACTTCTATTGCCTAGAACTGTATTTTGTTATCTTATAAAATACCCACAAAATGAAACTGTTGCAGCAACATGGAATTATAAAAAAAAACAATTTTGCTGGTTGAGTTGCCATTTGTCAAGTTATATTTATTGTTCTGACCACCAATATCGATGGAAAAAGGCGTTTCGAATTTCTGCTTCTCCTTCTTTAAACAAAAAGTTTGAGTGAGAAACTTTCGTAGAATGAAGGAAAGAAGATGATTAATAACCTAGCTGGATAAAAATCCAGCATAAATCATAGAACGTCAGTAGAAATACAAATGTAAGAACAAAAGATTACTTTTGGAATCTGGCGACACCCTGGCTACCTTTTTTTTCTCAAGAAATTGACAAACGCTCCGTTAACAACAGTTCAAGAATTTCATGAGCTGTGATTCAATTAGAAACAGTGGTGGACAATGTCTTCAAACTGAGAGGCACAATACCCGACTTGCTACTTAGAATAATCATTAGGAGGATTTGTATCTGAAAAGGATTAGATCCTTTCTTCGCTTCTCAATAACACTGTTCTAACCCGCCGCAAATCTGCTTAAATTATTCGGACAATAACCATTGGTTTCTTGCTAGCCTTGGTCAGATAGTTACCTACGCAATATTTACTTCCTCTGTTTGCTTGAGATAACGCTTTGTCATAAACGCCTATTAGGGAATATATTCCTTGCGTAATCCTTTAGACTGGACGTTGTGGTATGAAATATCCATCGTTGGGTAAGTTATTCCATATTTCGAAAATACGATTCACCAAAAAATATTGTCTCTGCCTCGTTGCGCATTTTTCTTTTTTTAATTCGAGTGTGTGACCACATAACCGTGAATCATTGTTAAAAACAAAAAGTTCTTTCTGATTAGCATAGTTATACTTAGCTATACGGAAATATATGATGATATGATGAGGTCGACGTTGGTCAAAAGCTAGTAGTTGTGCCATCCTCAGTCTTTTGAGATAGGTTGGACGCACTTCACCAAAAGTCATACGTGTGGCTCGACGCTGTACATTTTCCAACAAGACCCTATCGCGCACCAGAACAGGACACCACCACGTTTGCATGTGGATATTATATGTTCGGACCAAGTTAAGTCAGTATCAATAGTCACTCCCAAGTCTACATGTGAGGACACTGTAACGTAACGATTGACCGCTTATTGTGTATGTATGTAGTGGATTGTTCTTTCCTTGATGAAGTACGACGCATTTGTCAACGTTAAGAGGAAGAAGCCAATCCTCGCACCACTGACTAATCGAGTTGAGGTCTTCTTGAAAGGAATGCTGTTCGACTAAGGCATTTCCATACAGTTCAGTATCATCGGCATAAAACGACTTGCTGGACTTTATATGAAGAGCAAGATCACTTGCATAAACAACGAAGAGGAGCGGGACAAGAACAGATCCCTGGGGAACTCCACTTGTGACTTGTCTGTGCGAAGAAAGAGAGTGACCACTTTGACCGTGAAAGTTCTATTTGTCATGTGATTTTCAATCCATAGGTTTAGTTGGCCTCGAATACCGTGTGTGCATTAGCCTCCTCACTTGGACCCTGTCAAAAGGCTTGGCAAAGTCAAGGTAAACGATATCTGTCGGTATATTTTTTTCGTAAGCTGTCGGCCAATCGTTCATTATCCATGAAAATAATTATACACTTGGTATAGGGTCCTTTGTGAGTACCAATCGGGTTTTCCGAGCAAACATAGTTGTGAAATTGCGTTACAATGTGTTTCAACAGATTGGAAGAAAGGTGCGGAAATGGATCAGTATACTATTGAAGTATTTCTTGACCTTCAAAGGGCATTTGAAACTGTAGATAGATGCAGACTAATTAGAAAGATTGAAAGTTCAGGTATTGATGGAATAGCACTAAACTGGATCATGAATTATCTGAGCAATAGACAGCAAAGATTGAAAATAGAGGAGGTTCACTTGAATAAAATGCAAAATAATATAGCTATGTAGTTTCTCCGAAAGGTATTTGTCCAGATCCAGAAAGGATTCAGGCCATCCAAGATTATCGACGTCCTACCAACCTGAAATTGGCCGAATTTTGCGTTGCTATTGTCATGACCGGCATTCGAAATGGGCAATGGATATTCCGCTATTTCAGTCCTTTTTAAACTCAGTCGTCCACGAATCCAACGGCTTCGCTCCTATTGAGCTTGAGTTCGGAAAGGATAAAGTGAAGTTGTTACCACCTGATATCGTCCAGTCGCAAAACGACAAACTAGTTCTGGCCGAAGCAAACCTTAGGTGCAGAGCGGAGCGACGAGCCGCAAAACACCCGGGTCGCCCTTACACCCGTTTTCAGCCGGGTGACTTAGTTTTACTTAAGGCCTACAATATTTCTTCATCCATTCGGGCCGAAACGAGAAAGCTTTTGCTTCTCTTTGAGGGTCCCTACCGGATCAAACAAAAAATTGCAAATGATACTTATATCCTTTGCCAGCCGGACCAAGATCTTGAGCGTGGCATGTTTCACGCCAGTCACCTAAAACTTTATCATTCGCCAATACAAACTGTGAACACTTTACGATAGAAAGTATTCATCTTGAGGGGGGACAGATGTAGCGAAACGTGATTTCCACAGCGCCACTTCGTTATAGAACCCACAATACATTTCTATGTGCTCTAGGCAGGGCTACGATTAGCAGCTCGAGAAAGGTTTTTCAAGGCGAGTTTTTTTAGTTCCACATAAAAACGGCAACG